GGGCAGCGCGGATCCAGTCGATCAGCACCTCAGTGACCCCACCCTTGCAGCGCAAGGGGAAGACTGTGGTGTAACGCGAGTAGTCGTCAACAACCAGCAGAAAGTAGCGCTCGTGATCCTAAACCCTAAACCCCACACGTCCATGTGAAGAGTCTGCAGGGGAGCCTCTGTCGGAGGGAACTCGGAGGAGTGAGGAGTGGCGCGCTGCCACCCCTCGACGCAAGGAACGCAGGTAGGGGCAGGCCCCGGGGGAAGGGGAGGGAGAGACCGGGGAAGGCCAGTGACAAAGACACGGGAGGCCATGCCTTGGAGACGAGGCAGGGAGGGGTGACCAAGGCGGTGGTGCCAGAGGAGAGTCTGGTGAGACAGGAGGCGGCACGAGTAGGGGGCAGACTCAGGACCAGACCGGGACGCTGCAGCAAACGTCTGATCCGACGCGGCTACCTGACCAGACTCAGCAACCGGAGGAGACACGGTAGTCAGGGTGTACAGGCTCGATCCAGGCTGACGGGTGAACGTGGCCAGGTGCCGGCCCGTCCGAGTACACGAACAGTGGGTCACCCGTTGACCTCCAGGAGTGAACTGGTCAACCCATGCGTCCTGAAGGTCAGCTCCACTCACCAAGTTCATGGAGAACGAGGGGAGGTGGAGGCCAGACAGTGAGCCAGACGGGACCGCCGGACACGGCAGAACCGTGGAGGAGTGTGGAAGGACGGGACCCCCAGAGGGGTCAGCCAGAGAGACCGCCACTGGCCGACTGAGCGGCGAGAGTGTGGTGCAGTCGCGAAAGAAGGAGCGGGAAGCACCCGAATCAAGGGTGAAAGTGTGCAAGGCCGTAGCAGGCGCAGAGCAGACTCACCAGTACCTGGAGCAGCAGACTCACTAGCACCTAGAGCAGCAGCCTCACCAGCACCTAGAGCAGCAGACTCTATACCTGGGTCAGGCGGTACGCACAGGTAACAGGCACCCTCAGCACTAGTAGGCAATGCATACATGGCAGTGAGGATAGCATCATAGTCAAGAGCAAAGATATCCACCCGCTGTCTAAGCAGCTCCACCCAGTCGTGGAGCTCAGCCTCGTCGCCAAACTCGGTACGCCAGGCGTCGCTCAGACGGGCGAAGCAGCGGGACTGTATGTGACCAACCGTCCCGCAAGCTTGACCAGCCCGAGCAACTGTGCGAATGACGTACGGGCAGCGAACGGTACTCCGAGACCCTCTACTCTGAGCGTACCACTCACGAAGCTGCTGGGGCGTGAGAGACTCGCGCGGACGCCGCTGCAGCTGCATTTGGCCACTGCCAGACGGTCCCGACTGACCAGCTCCAGGGCGACAGCCACGACAGCCACCGCCACAGCCACAACTAGCGTACCACTCACGAAGCTACTGGGGCGTGAGAGACTCGCGCGGACGCCGCTGCAGCTGCATCTGGCCACTACCAGACGCTCTCGACTGACCAGCTCCAGGGCGATAGCCACGACGGCCACCGCCACAATCCCAACTAGCGTACCACTCACGAAGCTGCTGGGGCGTGAGAGACTCGCGCGGACGTCGCTGGAGCTGCATCTGGCCACCGCCAGTTGCAGCAGTAGCAGTAGTAGTAATAGTAGCAGCAGTAACAGCAGGAACAGTTGTAGCAGCGCGGGCAGGCCGGCGCGGCTTGGCGGGCGGGCAGGCGCGGCAGGCAGGCCAGCGCGGCAGCGCGCTAGTAAGGCAGGCGCGCAGGAAGCGCGGGTAGGGCAGGTGCTCACCAGTGGCGGGAAGGGCCAATGGCGGCTACGGCGGGGCCGCGACAGCGGCAGGGCGGGGCCGTGACGGTGGCAGGGGGGCTCCGCGGCAGCTGCTGCAGGGCGGGGCCGCGACTGCGGCAGGGGGCTCCGCTACAGCTGCTACAGGGCGGGGCCGTGACTGCGGCAGGGGGCTCCGCGGCAGCTGCTGCAGGGCGGGGCCACGACTGCGGCAGGGGGGGCTCTGCGGCAGCTGCTGAAGGGCGGGGCCGCGACTGCGTCAGGGGGGGGGCTCCGCGGCAGCTGCTGCAGGGCGGGGCCGCGACGGCGGCAGGGGGTTCCGCGGCAGCTGCTGCAGAGCGAGGCCGCGACTGCTGCAGGGGGGCTCCGCGACGAGCAGGGACGGCGCCCAGGGGGCGCCGCGACAAGCAGGGGCGACGCCCCGGGGGCGCCGCGACGAGTAGGGGCGGCGTCCAGGGAGGGCCGCCGCGATGAGCAGGGACGGCGCCCAGGGGGCGCCGTGACAAGTAAGGGCAACGCCCCGGGGGCGCCGCGACGAGTAGGGGCGGCGTCCAGGGGGCGCCACGACGAGCAGGGGGGACGCCGCGCGGGTCCCGCAGGGGCGTCGCGACGAGCAGGAGCGACGCGCGGCTCTGCAGGGCGGGGCGCGGGTCGCAGGGGCAGCGCCCACGGGCTGCAGGGGATATGCGCGGCTCGGGAGGGCGGCACGCGGGCTGGAGAGGCAGTTCCCACGGGCTGCAGGGGCGACACGCGGCCCGGCAGGGCGGCGCGCGGGCTGCAGAGGCAGCGCCCACGGGCTGCAGGGGCAGGCACGGCTGCAGGGGCAGCACGGTCGCAGGGGCAGCACGCTGGCTGCAAGGGCAGCGCGGCTGCAGGGGCAGCTAAAAAAAAATTCAGTTAGGGCAGGGCGGAACGTTCGGTGGGCCCTAGGAACGATTCTGCTCTGATACCATGTGAGAATAAGAACGAGGAATGACTAGAAACAGGGCAGTACAAGGTTTGTATAGGCAAAACCTAACAATACTGTACCCCATAAGGAGTGCCCCACTACAGCCTACAATGTAGTTCGGACACGTCGAACGTCAGATCATTTCGCGCTTGGATCGAACGCTTCAGGGAGCCTTGGGCGAGCTGCTTCGAGGTTCGGCGTCGGTGGTGCCATCGGTCCGTGAAAAGACGGTGTCGCTGCCGCTGCTGCTGCTGTCGCTGCTACGTTCGCTGCTGCATTGACTGCTGCGGTGGCGGCTGTGGATTGGTTTGTCAGAAGGGCCTCGAGTCCCCGAATCGCCGCCTGCGTCTGTTCCATGTCGGTGCGAAGGCTGGCGATGTCGCTCGTCGTCGCGTAGTTGTCGCCTTGACCCTCCATGCCTGACATTGCGCGTTTGAAAAAACCGAAACGAGGGGGAGCGAAAAACACGGAACCGGTTTTACGTACCCGAAATCGGTGTTTAACAGGCGTCGCCCCCGCGGTTTTTGAAGACTCGGTTTTAGCGGTCGAAAAACTGTCGCGTGTAAACAGGCTCTGATTACCAAGTGTGAGGATCTAGGATTGAGCTCAGAAAAGTGGCTGTCCCTTGCCCTCCACCCTCCACCCTGGGTTGTCAAATGTTACCATCTCACTCGCTCATCCCTACCCTGAAACAAAACGGCCCCCAAACTAATGACAACCAGACCCACCTCAATCCGAGCCACCACCATCAGGTCTCACCTTTAAGCCGCTCGAAGGACTGAAGTGTCTCGGCCTTGGCGGGGGTCTTGGCGGTCTGTGACCAGCTCCACCCCCAGCATCAGCCCCGCACCTCTCACGTCGCCAATCACTGTTGTGTGGCATGGAGGGAGCGAGTGGAAGGGTGCAGGGCGGGAAACAGAAGGCCAAACAGGCGGGGGTTAGCGAGGAACCAGCTCCACTCCAGCCCCACTCCGCACCTCACGTCCCCAATCCCTGTTGGTCGATGGCACGACATGAGTGAGGTTGGGGGAAGGCTCGAGAGGACGACAAGGAGAGAACGAGCTGTGACCAACTCCACTGCCAAAACGCACAAAAGCAGTGGCTCGCAAGTATCCAAGCAGTGGCTCGCAAGTATCCAAGCAGTGGCTCGCAAGTATCCAAGCAGTGGCTCGCAAGTATCCAAGCAGTGGCTCGCAAGTATCCAAGCAGTGGCTCGCAAGTATCCAAGCAGTGGCTCGCAAGTATCCAAGCAGTGGCTCGCAAGTATCCAAGCAGTGGCTCGCAAGTATCCAAGCAGTGGCTCGCAAGTATCCAAGCAGTGGCTCGCAAGTATCCAAGCAGTGGCTCGCAAGTATCCAAGCAGTGGCTCGCAAGTATCCAAGCAGTGGCTCGCAAGTATCCAAGCAGTGGCTCGCAAGTATCCAAGCAGTGGCTCGCAAGTATCCAAGCAGTGGCTTGCAAGTATCCAAGCAGTGGCTCGCAAGTATCCAAGCAGTGGATCGCAAGTATCCAAGCAGTGGCTCGCAAGTATCCAAGCAGTGGACCGCAAGTATCTAAGCAGTGGATTGCAAGTATCCAAGCAGCGGATCGCAAGTATCCAAGCAGTGGATCGCAAGTATCCAAGCAGTGGATTGCAAGTATCCAAGCAGTGGATTGCAAGTATCCAAGCAGTGGATTGCAAGTATCCAAGCAGTGGACCGCAAGTATCCAAGCAGTGGCTCGCAAGTATCCAAGCAGTGGCTCGCAAGTATCCAAGCAGTGGCTCGCAAGTATCCAAGCAGTGGACCGCAAGTATCTAAGCAGTGGATTGCAAGTATCCAAGCAGTGGATCGCAAGTATCCAAGCAGTGGATCGCAAGTATCCAAGCAGTGGATTGCAAGTATCCAAGCAGTGGATTGCAAGTATCCAAGCAGTGGATTGCAAGTATCCAAGCAGTGGATCGCAAGTATCCAAGCAGTGGATCGCAAGTATCCAAGCAGTGGATTGCAAGTATCCAAGCAGTGGATCGCAAGTATCCAAGCAGTGGACCGCAAGTATCCAAGCAGTGGATCGCAAGTATCCAAGCAGTGGATCGCAAGTATCCAAGCAGTGGACCGCAAGTATCCAAGCAGTGGCATGCCAGCAGTAATTCACTGCCAGGCCCGCTCCTTCCCCCACGTTTGATAGACTGCTGGCTTGGAACCAAGGGACAGGTGAATAGTATGGAGCATGAAGGAGCATTCCAGCCAAGGTGGGAGTACATGGAGGCAGTGACCACCCTAGCAACACATCCCTCAATCTCTGTCTCACATCACATCATATACCTCACATCATATACCTCACTCTCTCACTCATTATCTCACTCATTCCGTCACCCATCCATCCTGCCAACTCACCCTCGTGTTTCTCCTTAAGTGCTTGAAGTTTCCCCAGCAGGTATCCCCCCACATGAGCGCAGTTCCCCTGCAGCCCCTCGTCCTCGATAATCTGCAGCACCGCCCGCCCGCCAGCACAGCTCACGGGGTTCCCTCCGAATGTGTTGAAGTGCAGCCGCTGCGCCATCACTGCTGCGATCTCCGGTGTGGTTACCACCGCTGCCAGGGGTAATCCGTTGCCTATACCCTGTGGTGGGAGGAACGGGAGGGAGGGATTTGAAGGCGCATGGAAAAGAATAGAACACCGCCCGCCCGCCAGCACAGGTCAAGGGGTTGACCCCGAACGTGCTGAAGTGCAACTGCTGGGCCATCACTGCTGCTATCTCCGGCGTGGTTACCACCGCTGCCAGGGGTAACCGGTTGCCTATACCCTGTGGTGGGAGGAACGGGAGGGAGGGATTTGAAGGCGCATGGAAAAGAATAGAACACCGCCCGCCCGCCAGCACAGGTCAAGGGGTTGACCCCGAACGTGCTGAAGTGCAACTGCTGGGCCATCACTGCTGCTATCTCCGGCGTGGTTACCACCGCTGCCAGGGGTAACCCGTTGCCTATGCCCTGTGGTGGGTGGGAGTGGGAGCGGTGGGAAGTAGAGTTTGGGTTGGTGGGGAGGACCTTGAAGGCAGCGGAAGGAACAATCACTGCCTCAAGGACGCCAGCGCAGCTCACAGGGTGAAGTGCCGCGAGGTGACTTTTGAGTTGACTCAAGAGTGACCTTGGAGGCAGCTGAAAGAACAATCACTGCCTGGACGGCAGCGCAGCTCACACGACCAAGTGCCGCCGCCGGACGTCAGTGCTGCGATCTCTGGCGTGGTTACCGCCGCCTGCAAGGATCTATCCCTGTACATGGTCATGCACATGCACATGCACATGCACATGCACATGGCCTACATCACCGCCTGCAAGGATCTATACCCTGTGGTGGTTGGGAGTGGAGGGGGGTGGCGGATGGATTGTCAAGATAGAACACATATAGAAAGTATCAATGCTGTAACCGTGACATGGTTACCAATCGTTGAACGAGGGAACCCGCGGCTGGGTCTTAAAGTAGGATGGGAAAGTGCAGGAGGGGAGATGGAGAAGAAGAAGAGAAAGAAACGGAGGAAGGATGATGGAAAAGGAAAGAGGACCAGGAAGGAGGGAGGAACGACATAGAAGCTTCATTCAAGACATAATGACATAGCTGTAGGACATCATGACGTTAGACCAACACACCATAGCCTCACACCTTGTGCACTTTCCATTTCCACCAACACGATTGACCAAGTACTTTGCGTTGCCCTGCCCATATCTACGTGCCCTGCCCATATCCACGTGCCTTGCCCATATCCACGTGCCCTGCAAATATCCACGTGCCTTGACACTCTTATCAACTCATACCGTGGCCATGTCAGGCATGACCCCCTGCGCTCAACCCCAGTCTGCTCTGCACCTCGTGCGCTCAAACCCCATGTGCTCCTCGCCACACCCACGCACCTGTATACTCTTATCTCATACCTTGGCCATGGTAACAATGCCACGAGAGACCCCCTGGGTCTCGAACCCCCAGTAGTGCCACCCTGTGCGCCCAAACCCCCTCTGCCCCTCGTCTGCCCAAACCCCCTGTTCGCCCCTCATGCGCCCACCCCCCGGAGCAATTCATACCTTGGCCATAGTAACAATGTCGGGAGTGACCCCCTGTGTCTCGAACCCCCAGTAGTGCGACCCCGTGCGCCCAAACCCCGTCTGCACCTCGTCTGCTATGCACACGCCCCCCGCCGCCCGGATCGACTCGTACACCAATGGCAGGTAGCCACGTGTCAGAGGCACTGTGCCGCCCACCCCCTGGATGGTCTCGGCGATGAAGCCGGCCACGCGGCCTGATGTGGACGAGCGGAGAAGGTCGTCCACGTCAGCAGCGTACTTTGCAGCGTCAGCACCGAATACGCCCCTGTATGGGTCGGGGTTGAGTGCGTGGTGAATGCGAAAGCCCTGCCAAGGTGGGGCGGAAACAGGGGGCGAGGGGGAATGGGAGGGTGGGGGGGGGGAGAAAGTTAGGGAGGCTCCAAAGACACTGTCAGCAGCACCAAAAACTCCCCTGTACGGGTCAGGGTTGAGTGCGTGGTGTGGTGAATGCAAAAGCCCAGAGTGGATGGAAACTGGAGGGGAGGGGGTGGGGAGGAGGGGGGCAGAAAGGCAGCCTTTGTAATACATTGGCAGAAAGGCAGCCTTTGTAATACATTGGCAGAAAGGCAGCCTTTGTAATACATTGGCAGAAAGGCAGCCTTTGTAAAACATTGGCAGAAAGGCAGCCTTTGTAATACATTGGCAGAAAGGCAGCCTTTGTAATACATTGGCAGAAAGGCAGCCTTTGTAATACATTGGCAGAAAGGCAGCCTTTGTAATACATTGGCAGAAAGGCAGCCTTTGTAATACATTGGCAGAAAGGCAGCCTTTGTAATACATTGGCAGAAAGGCAGCCTTTGTAATACATTGGCAGAAAGGCAGGCTTTGTAATACATTGGCAGAAAGGCAGCCTTTGTAATACATTGGCAGAAAGGCAGCCTTTGTAATACATTGGCAGAAAGGCAGCCTTTGTAATACATTGGCAGAAAGGCAGCCTTTGTTATACATTGGCAGAAAGGCAGCCTTTGTAATACATTGGCAGAAAGGCAGCCTTTGTAATACATTGGCAGAAAGGCAGCCTTTGTAATACATTGGCAGAAAGGCAGCCTTTGTAATACATTGGCAGAAAGGCAGCCTTTGTAATACATTGGCAGAAAGGCAGCCTTTGTAATACATTGTCAGCACAGCACCTAGGATCAGGGTGGATTGGGCGGTGGATGCTGGAGGCCCAAAGGAAGGGTACTGGGGAGGAGAGGGGATGAGAAGGAGAAGTTTCTTAGAAGCGTTCAATCCAGCGCCCGCCTGTGCCAAGCACAGCCGTGGAGGGGTCACGGTTGACAGTGGTACGGATGGCCACCCTGGCTTGAGATGGCGGCGGAGAGGAGGGGGAGATGCGCAGGGGAAGGGAGGAGGGGGAAGGGAGGATGGGGATGGGAGGATGGGAAAACGGAGAGGGGGAAGGGAGGATGATGGAGGAGGGGGAAGGAAGGAGGGGGGATGGAGGAGGGGGGTGCGGGCAGGGCAGTGAGCCTTATAGTAGCAGGCAGGGGAGAAGCAGTGTGATACTCGATGTGCAGAGCCATGGCGTCATACTAGCCTGAGACCAGCCAGACCCGTTGTCACTTGTGCCATGTGCCATGTGAGTGGCAACGCAATAAGAACCCCCCCCCACATCCGCACCTGGGGCACGTTGAACTTCCACATGCTGTGGGCGGTGAGTCTCATGGTGGCGGGGAACATGCCGTGGTATGCACTGTGCCGAGACATAGCGTTACTCCAACCTTGTAAAATGTGAGTAGCAAAGCAACTCTACAAGAACCACGTGCCGTGGCCGGGACTCACCTGAGGCACGTTGAACTTCCACGTGCTGTGGGCGGTGAGCCCCATGGTAGCAGGGGACATGCCATGGTACGCGTTGCGCAGAGCAACCACGTCGTAGTTGCCCGTGTACAGGCGCGCCATGGTGAGCGCCATGTCGTTCGCCTCCGAGCCCGAATTCACAAAGTACACATTCTGGCACGGGCGAAGGGGGACAGAGGACGGGCGGGACGAGGGGGGGTGAAGGGGAGAGGGAGAATGGGGATGAGGGGGAGGGCAGGCAGGCAGGTGTCAGTGACCAGATGCGCCATGTGATTCGCCTCCAAGCCTAAGTTCACGACATACACATTCTGCCCTGACTGACCATGAATGAGGTCAGCAGGCATCTTAGCAGCGGAATCCTCGTCGTGTGCTGCACAGTGCATGTACCCACTACCTCACCTCACCACCACGCTATGCCGCCATGCTGCCATGCTGCCATGCACTCACCTTAAGGTTGCCGGGCATCTTAGCAGTGAGATCCTCTGCATATTCCGCGATCTGGTGGTTCGGGTAGATGCTCGTGGTGTGCTGTACAGAGCGTGCATGCACCCACTCACCATCTCACCATCTCACCGTCTCACCGTCTCACCATCTCACCGTCTCACCATAACACCAGCAGCACGGACTGACCTTGAGGTCGCTGGGCATCTTAGCAGCGAGCTCCTCCGCGTATTCAGCGATCTGGTGGTTGAGGTAGATGCTCGTCGTGTGCTGCAGCAGCGCGTTCTGCCGCCCCACCGCCTCCACGAACGCCGGGTGGCAGTGCCCCACCGACACCGTCACTATGCCCGCGAATGCGTCCAAATACCGCCGCCCGTCCTCGTCGTACAGGTACTGCATGCGCCCCTCCACCACGTGTAGCTGACGGGGGGGAAGAGCGGTGGGGGGATTGGGAGGGGGTGAGGGGGGAAACGGGGGGTTGATTGGTGGAGGGGCGGAGGGGTTTCAGAGTGGCTGTGTGCGACAGCCTGGAGCCGTCCTGGTGGTACCGGTGCAGCATGCGCCCCTCCACCACGTGTAGCTGGGGGAGACACGGGGGAACGGGGAGAACGGGGATATGGGGGGGTGGACGCGGGGGGAGGAAGGGGGGAGCGGGGTTGTTTGGGCTGGCTTTGTGCATCTGTTTCCTCGTGGTACAGGTGCTGCATGCGCCCCTCCACCACGTGTAGCCGACAACGGGAAGGGATGGGGGGGGGAAGGGAGAGTTGGGTGGAGGGAATACAGGGAAAGGGGGCGGAAGGGGAGGGGGAAGGGGGGGCTTTCACACAACCTGCAGCTGGCCGAGGTGCTGCATGCGCCCCTCAACCCGCGCACCTGATGCGCACACGGGGACGCGGGGAGATGGGGGGGAAGTGCGGGCGAAGGAGGGGGAACGGAGGGAGCGAGGGAGGGTGGGGGTAGAGAGGGGGAAGGGAGGTCGGAGTGGCGAAACATGGACAGTCCGCAAGCGTCCTCGGCGGGGGAATGCTGCATGCGCCCCTCCAATGGAGGCGCACGTGCTGGCAAGTTGGCAACACGTTCGGCTGACTGACAGGGACACGAGGAGCGGGGAGATGGAAGGGAATAAGGGGGCTGTGCTGTTGGAGCTGAAAGGTCGCCTCGAAGAAAGGCAGTGGGTGGTCGTTGGCCTGGCGTGTGCGCAACACTTCCCACCTTCCTCGTAGCCGGGATGCCACGTCGTCACGTGCCCCGTGCCCGCCTCGCAGCTCGTTTCGCTAGACGCCAAACGCGGAGAACGGGGTGGGAAGGCGTTGCGGCAAGGTGAAAAACGCGAGTAGGCGCAGCGCAGCAGGGGAATAGCAGAGGTGGCGATGTGACGAAAGTTTCGGGCGAACAAATACGTGGCGGTGGCCTACAAACCACTACCTTTGTCTCGTACGCGGCAGCGGCGCCGAAACGGGTTCTGATTGTAGGCGAAACGCGGGTTTTGAAACGTCTCAAATCTGTCTAACACGAGGCAGCGGCGCTCTACAGGTTTTTGGTAATAGGCGAAGATGGTCGGATTGATTATTGAGGCGCCTAAAAAACGATTACAGTTGTCTGCACGGCAGTGGCAATGGCGCCGTACCGGTTTCTTGTAGTAGGCGAAGATGGTCGGGTTGAGGAACTTCTGTCGCTTCCTCAGCACCTCCTCCGCGCGCGGCCCCGTGTACGGCGCCGGCACGTGGTCGAACGCCGGCATCTGCGGGACCGCGCGGCTCGACGCACTCGGGCTTGCGCCGCCCGCGGGAGCCGGCGCGCCTGTGCTGGTGGAGAGGGAAGCCGCTGGGGGACGCACACATGGCGCTGACGGTGTGGCAGGCTGCGACGCGGCTAGGAAATCGGCTGCGGAATTAAATATTGAATTGGGCGATGAAAGGGTGGCGCAGAGCCTGGCGGCAAGGAGTCGGGCATGGTGGCGCTGCCTCGAGAGAACGGCGGCAGCCATATTCGCAATCGATAGTATCTGTTGTGAACTATTTGATGTGAATCAAGTTGAGCGTTTTTACGGACAGGGTAAGATTGTGGACGCAGCGAGCTTTCTATCAACGCCGAATTCGCGCAACAAGCGGCAGGAGCGCTGCCGAATGTCCAGTCGCGGCAGATACCACCACAAGCAGGAAGCTTTCGCTTGTACTGGAAGGAAATGTGTGAACTGCGGTAGTGTTGTGCCTTCAAATTGTACTGACCTCGCCCCTCAAGACGAGGTTGGGTGGGAGGGTGCAATGGGAGCAAAGGAGGAATTACACAATACGGTGGCATAAGCAATTAGCACAATACAATACGGTATGGAGCGCTACCTTTGTGAGACGAAGTTCGTGCTCAAGTAGGAGGCAATCCCATGAACCGCGTCAGCCAAAGCAAGCGATTGGGCGAAATGAATGCGGTCCGGCTCCTCGGTTCATCTGATTGGAAGTGTACGAAACAGCCAATTCGACTTCCAGAGTGGATCGCGTGGATGCCACAGAAGCTGACGAGGCCGAATCACGCGAAAGTCATTGGGCAGTTGACGTGGCAGCAAGTGTGCCGTGTGCCCCACCCAGAAGCGCATGTTTGAGCACACCTTGTTCCATGTGATGAAACTGGTCATACCAGGTGCTAAGGGAATACCAGGAAGTCGCCTCCCATGGCTGACTCACTATCACACAGAGCAAAGGGCTGTCGCGCGTTTGTAAGGGTCTCACCCAATTCGCAGTTGGAAACCGGCCGCGGTTCATTCCGATCGTCCGCTTAGTGATTTCTTCAAAACGAAAGATTGCCAAGTGTATTGTGATCACATGCCGCAGCGCCCATCTGTATTCGAATTGGGCATGAGCCGTTGATGCAGCATTCCTCGCCCGACGCGTTATGCTCTTCTTGCTCCCTTCGAGTCTGAACGATGCAACCGCCACGACAACTAATGCTATGACCGTCGCGTTCTCCACAGCTCCCTCCTAATCTCCTTATCCACCTTTTAATCTCCTCGTTCCTCTCCTTCCCTCTTCTCGCTCCGCTGAATCGTCACTAGCCGCGCCGGTAGCGATGGACTATTCGCTGCCCGCCCGTAAGCTGTTCCTCGCTGACGTCAGCGCATACCGGATTATCCGGCGAGCGAACGGGCAACCGCTGCTGGAGGTGCGGCATTAGGGGCGCGGGGGAAGGATGAGGGGGGGATGGGGGGGAGGATGAGGGCGGGGGGAAGGATGAGGAGGGGGGAGGGGGACGGATTAGGTTTGATGAAGCTGATGAGGGAGAGAAAGTCTTCAGCCACACATGAGGCGCCTCAAGATACTAACACACAGCAAGTCACTCACCTCTATCATCTCTGAACTATGGCCTCTATTCACCTGTCTCTCGTCAGCATGGTCACGTCACCATGTCCTCATCATTATTGCCACGTCAACGCAAGTGAGTGGAACGATTACTACAGGGGGTGTGAGTTCTCTGCGTTGCTCTCTCCATCTCTGCGTTGCTCTCTCCATCTCTGCGTTGCTCTCTCCATCTCTGCGTTGCTCTCTCCATCTCTGCGTTGCTCTCTCCATCTCTGCGTTGCTCTCTCCATCTCTGCGTTGCTCTCTCCATCTCTGCGTTGCTCTCTCCATCTCTGCGTTGCTCTCTCCATCTCTGCGTTGCTCTCTCCATCTCTGCGTTGCTCTCTCCATCTCTGCGTTGCTCTCTCCATCTCTGCGTTGCTCTCTCCATCTCTGCCTGCTACAGGGGGTGCGGCTCAGCACCTGACCCCTCCTGGTTGCATCCCTATCACTGCCCGCGTCTCTGGTGCGTGCGTGGCATGGCGTGGCGTGGCGTGGCGTGGCGTGGCGTGGCGTGGCGTGGCGTGGCGTGGCGTGGCGTGGCGCGGCGCGGCGCGGCGTGGCGTGGCATGGCGTGGCGTGGCGTGGCGTGGCGTGGCGTGGCTTGGCGTGGCGTGGCGTGGCGTGGCGTGGCGTGGCGTGGCGTGGCGTGGCGCGGCGTGGCGTGGCGTGGCATGGCGTGGCATGGCATGGGATGGTACTGCAGGTGAACAGCATGGCGTTGCAGCGAGTGTGGGTGCAGGGCGTTCTCCGAAGCACAGATGCTGCCTCCCCAACTGCTGTTTGGGGTGGTGAGGTGTCTTCTGGGGCAGGCGGTTCTGCTGCCGAAGGGCGTGTTGTGGAGGGGAGGTGCGGCGGTGAGGGGAGGTTGTATCTGGACGACGGCAGTGCGGCGGTTGAGATCGTTCCTGCTAAGGGGGGATCGCCTCCGCTTGTCGGTGCGTGATGTGATTCTAACAGGTGGGACATAAGCGGGGGTGAGAGGTGATTGGTCCACGCGGGGTGCGTTTGATTGGTTCAGGGTGCATTCTCGGGATGGTGTGGGCAGCAGCATGCATGCGGGTGGCGGAGTGTGTGCGGCACCCTGCATGGATGGTTCACGTGGTGCCATCACGCACACCGCTGCCTGCATGCCTGCTGTCCAACGAATCCTGAGTGGATGCCTCAAGTGCTGCTGGTTGGCTGCAATGGGTGATTGAAGGGGGGTATGTGAATGGGATGGGATGGGTGAAGGGGATTGGTAAAGGGGATTGGTGCCACAAGTGTAGGTCTGTGTTTGTCGTTTTGCATACATCACCATTTTCTATCTGCTGAAGTGACTGCCTGCTTGTGCATGCTGTGTCAGCCTGTCCTCTCATGCGTCTGCATGCCTTGCTATGTGCGCACATGTGTGAATCTGTGTGTGTGGGTATGCACACACACATGTACAGGGTCGTACGTGCAAGTCATAGGTGCTCTCTGCACCCGCCCTGCCAGCCCACCATTCATCAAGGTGACCCTATTACATGGCCTTTCTTCTCGCACCTTCATTCACCGCACTGCACACCATCGTTCACTATCGTGTAGTTCATGTGACCCCACTGCCCTTTACTTCCCTCTATGAACCCTTATCTACCCACTGCCGTGTGCGGACATTGCTGTTATGAAGCAGCACTGTGTGTGTGCCTGCTGCTTCCTGCACGTGTAACCCCTTATCCTGCAGCACTGCTCGCACTGTCAGCACTGCTCCCTCCTCCAAGCGAATGATTGTTCGTCTTCACGCGTCTGCCATTTCCAAACCATGCGCCACCACGTTCATCTGCCCCCCCATGCGCCACCACGTTCATCTGCCCCCCCATGCGCCACCACGTTCATCTGCCCCCCCATGCGCCACCACGTTCATCTGCCCCCCCATGCGCCACCACGTTCATCTGCCCCCCCATGCGCCACTACGTTCATCTGCCCCCCCATGCGCCACCACGTTCATCTGCCCCCCCATGCGCCACCACGTTCATCTGCCCCCCCATGCGCCACCACGTTCATCTGCCCCCCCATGCGCCACCACGTTCATCTGCCCCCCCATGCGCCACCACGTTCATCTGCCCCCCCTCTCTGGCAAGTGCGGCAGGCCTTTGCCCCGTGGGATGGAGGGGTGCACAAAGGAACAATGCTCACTAGTTCTCTTCCGCCCCCCCCCCCTCTTCCGCCCCTCCCCCCCCCCCCACTCCGCCCCCTGCGCGCAGGTGCACAAGCTGGTGGATCTGTCAGCAGACCCCAACAGGGAGTCCCTGTGGCACCCATGGGTAATCGAAGCGCAGACCAGGTCACGACCCAAGCCTCACACTTTACCCAGTGACCCCTCCCTTCTCTCCCCTCGTCCCTCTCTCCCCCAGGTGCACAAGCTGGTGGATCTGTCAGCAGACCCCAACAGAGAGTCCCTGTGGCATCTCGAGGTGATAGAAGCGCACATCAGGTCGCGACCCAAGCCACACACGTGACCCGAGGCCCTCAACAGAGATTCCCGGTGGTGGTTAGCGCTGCTCAAAGCACTCGTGGCTCGTGCTGACAAGGCTGCCGAAGGACGCAGTGCAGTGCAGTGTATAATCGTCTACAGTATCTCATGGCACTCGGTGTGCTGCCAACTCGTGCCAGGCACAACATCGTGATGGCAATTCGTGTACATATCGCGCTCGTTATGACTCAGCAGCTTCAGTCACTTTTAAAAAGGGGGAATTTGTACTTTCTTAAGGCGTGTTTCTACACCAGGGGGGTTTGTACTGCTGTATTTTGAGGGGCTATCTTCCAGAAATTTATTACTAAAATGTCTCAATGGTGCACGTGCACTCTACTATCAGCTGCAAGCATGCAACTACTAAGAGCACAGAGCGTTCAGCAGCTCATGTCGAGACTGTAACGCACCGCACATGTTACACTCCATGTCATCCGCCACCTCATACTCCCCTGCACCCTCACCAACCCCTCCCCCTCCCCCTCCCCCTCCTCCCATCCACCTCCCTGGCTTGGCAGCCATGGTGCCGCCACACCCCTCCACGGCACACAGATGCTTCATGAAGAACAGCGCGTGCGCCAGCTCAGCATCTGACACGTCAGCAGCCTGCCCATCCCCGTCCTCGTCACTGTCATCCCCGTCACCAGCACCATCTGCCTCATCAGCATCCTCCTCCTCTGCTGCTTTCCCTTTGCCCTTCCTGTCTGCTACTCCCTTCCCAGCCACTCTCTCCCCTTCCCCATCTGCATCCTCCCCCCCATCCGACTCATCTGCTTCTTCCTTCTCAGCTTCCTCTCCATCCTCCTCCCCTTCCTCGTCCTCCTCACTCTCATCATCACCAATTCGTCTCTCCAGCTCACACCGCTCACAACCACACTCAAACCCGTACTCCTCGTTCACCCGTGCACTGCGCTCCCCCAGGCGCCAGCCCAGGGGGAAGTACGACACCACCACCTCCTCTCCTTGCTCAAGGTCCCTCATTGCCCGCAGCTGCATGTGCGTGCTGCTGCTGAAACCATTGGTGGTGGTGAGTGCAGTGGCAGGAGGCACGGAGTCAAAGTAGTCAAACCTGCGGAGGATGTTAAAGAGGGGATGCAAGAGGGAGAAAGGATGAAAGATGGAAGGGGTGAAAGAGGGAGAGGGGGCAGAAGAGGGAGAGGGGGCAGAAGAGGGAGAGGGGACGAAAAAAACGGAGGTGGCGAAAGAAAGAAAAGTGTCAAAGCCTTTCCTTGGAAGAACTTGTGTGTGAGGGAAGCAGTGGCGCATGGGGAAAGAATAGCCATGTAATGAAGCGATGTGATGCGGTGCGATGCGATGTGATGTAAAGTAGTGTGAGACTACACCAGCGGCAGGTGGAAGACGCACCTGCACGCGTTGGGATAGCACGAGTGGTTGGCGAGGGAAGCAGCACCGTACACCGCATACCCCCTCACAGCCCTCTCTCCCCCCGGGCTGAACGGCGCCATCACGCCAAAGCTGTTGCGCGTGTCTCGAGCCAGCAGCGCACGCGTCACCTCCCATGAAGGCGGGCCCATGGAGCGTGCATCGGCGCCCTCCCCAGTGCCTTCCTCAACGCGGGCAGTGGCGGCCGCTGTAGAGGCAGCGCGCCACGCCCAGTCGTGGGTAACTCGCAGCACTGCCTCGTGCATCCGCCTTGCCCGCGCCCTCTCCTCTTCCTCCTTGCTCTCCGCGTCCCCTGCCGCGCCAACCGCTTTTGCACAGCTGCTGCCAGCACTAGCTCCTTTACCCGCAGCAGCCACAGAAGCTGCATTGACTGCCTCTGTACATCTCTCCCCATGCCCATCCCCGCCTCTCCCGCCCTCTTCCTCGTCCCCCCCATCCACGCCTCCCCCCCCCTCTCCCTCGTCCCCACCATCCAGCGCCATCAGCAGCGCAAAGCAATCGTTCCACTCCCTCCTCCCGCCGCCCCTCTCTCCCCTTCCCTCCGCCTCCTCCCCTCCCCTCCCAGCCCCCCCCGTACTGCCCCGTCCGCTGCCTGCTCTCTGCGCCAATTCCTCCGCCCATACCGCCTCCGCCAAAGGGGGAAGCGCGCGGGGATGCACCAGCAGGTCGTACGCAGCCAATAGAAAACGGACAGCTGTCCTGTCCTCGCTGTTCAGCAGCGGCTCTTCGCTGTCCGCGTCGCCCCCAGCTGACGTGTCATCTGGCCTCTCTTCGTTGATTGGCGGTGGCACGGATGCCCCACCATCGGCGGAAGCTGAAGTGGCGGAGCGAGGGGGGAGGCGGGAGAGCGCGCGGCAGAGGAAGGGGGTGTGAGTGGCCGCTTGTGATTGGTCGAGGCAAGCGGGGGAGCAGAAGGAACAGATGCGGCAGTGGGGGCAGCGAAGGGGGGTGGCGGAGGGGAGGGGGGAGGGCGGGGCGGCGGCATCCGCGGGGCTGGTAGCGGAGGGGAGGCACCTGCGGAAAGTCAAGTGGGGGGGAGAGAAGAAGGGGAGTGTGGAGTAAGCGGTGAACGCAAGCGATAGCGGAGTGGACATCCACTGGGCACCGGATTTTGACGTCAAGACTGCGACAACCGTTGATCATTCGCAAACGCTTCTGATAAGCTGCCGCGCTTCTGTGAGCTAGGGGCTTGGATGCTGCATGTCAATTGCGCGCTGAAGAATGCCAATGCGCGACGAGGGGCGAGGCGCAGTAAGGGTCTGGACCGGGGTCGCTCACGACAAGACCCTAAACTACAGGGTTGCTCGCGAAACAAGCCACCACAGGTCGCATTGCTCACTACTGGTCACCGCAGGCAGTGCTCACCGCAGGCAGGGCTCACCGCAGGCAGTGCGAGCAGTAGTCGTCGCACACATCGTCGTCGACGTATAGCAGCAGAGGCGCCTCGTCCAGCAGCACCTCGCCCTCTCGCACGGCCCGTCGCACGGCCAATCCGCGACCGCGCGGGCCGCGAACGAGTTGCAGCATGCTGAATGCCAACAATCTGCGGGGATCACAGAGAAACGGGCGTTTGTCGCCAGACGTCGCAACCGGAGAGCAGGTCAACGACTTGTCGAGACGCGCGATCGAAAATGGACAATCCCCCTGACCCTACCACTGGAAGGGAAGCACGTTCATTTGAGTTCCAACTCAACTACTAGCTGTGGCATGTTCCCGTCGCAACGAGAATGTTGCTGTGACGACGTGATTGGGATTCGGGCGAGGTTTCGGGTTTCTGGTTCAACAATCACAAATCCCAATACCGTACCCGTTTTGGGACTTGATTGCACAATCAGAGTCAACAAGAATGTTGTTCCAGCTCTATGAAACAGTAAGAGTACCACTAAGAATATTTACAACCAGCAATAGGTTGTTTGTTATCACAATTTGCTTCGTCCACCTTTCAGAATGATTACAGGAATATCCCAGGTTGTCACACCCCAAAACACCCGCTCCTGGGCTTTCAAGCATCTCAACCCCCTAAATTCATGCATTTATGTCCCTTACCAAACCAGTAGCACAAGCACTTGCACACCACAAAAAACAGCCCCATCCAGTCCCTACCTACCAGTGCATGCTGGGCCATCCCAATGCCTCAAAAAACTTGTATTGTGATGCTGCTCCCTACACACCACGACCGGAATCGCCAACCCTAACACCATCGACACTTTCCTTGTCATCAACAGGCAGCACTAGCAGAAGATCGCACCCAGATTCAGAGAACTAGTTGTGGATCAGGAGGTGAAGGACAAGCCTTGGAGCGAGAGTGCAAGTGAAGGAGTTGGAGCGTAGAGGATGGAGTTCAGATAGATGGAGGCGGACGAGTGATGTAACAGAAACAATGGAGTTGAGAAAAAGGGCTACAATAACATGGGTTCTGCCCCTCAGCACCATGTGGCTTGCACTCCGCCCCTCACTCCCTCCATTGCAGCTGCACGAGAGGGAGAGGGAAGGGGACACAAGGGAAAGGGACACTGGCCCATGGCATGGACTCTAGAGATATCTCACAAGCGGAAGGAAAGGAGAGCAGCCAATGACCGGAATTTGAGGACGTTATAAGGTACATATACGATCAACCCAGGCTTGGTATGCATCAAAAGCAGATAGAGCATAGCTCTTGCCCAGGGTAGCGCGTCGATGCATAGTACAGACCTACAAGGGCAGGTCCCAGGGCCTCAGATGTCAGGAATTTTACCCTGAATTCCTGAAGTTTGACCCCCGTTTTTTATCATGACCCTGATGCATCAGCCTTTTTTTTTCAACGACCCTGATGTTTCAGTGTTTTTAGATTTCGAACTCTGATTTTCCAGTGTTTTGTGTTTGAGGACACTGACCAGTCAGTGTTGTATCGGGGTCTACCCTGAAACCGAAAACTCCTTGTTTTGGCGCGCCGTCACTGTGCACCGTGCACCAAGGGGATTTCTGGCGAAACATGCTCTGACAGGGCGAATCTCTTGTGTGAGGGGCGAATCTGCTGCTGTGTCAGGGCAAATCTGCTGTGATTGGGCGAATTTGCTGTGCTGCGACAGCGCGTAACGACTGTGCGAGGTCGAATTTGCCGTCAGGGCGAATCTGCTGTGACGAACCAAGTCCGAATCATCAGTCAAGTACACAACCAGAGATCAGAAACAATTCTTAACAATTGTCCTATTCGATTGGTCAGACAAGATTTCTGACCAATCAGACACGGAAATAGCAGAACCCTGGCCGAATTTGGGAATTGTAAAGTGAGGGCAGTCTGATTCGCTGTGTTATGACAGCATACCAGTATAAGCAACTATTCTGATCAGTGTTGAAGTTGTAGAAACCCTGATTGATCAGCGTTTTATTTCTAACAACCCTGTAAATTCAGTGTTTCACACTAGACGACACTGAAAATCAGTGTTACCCGCCTAGGGACACTGAGTGCTCAGGGTACACAAAAACCAATATGAGGCCCTGGCAGGTCCCATGCAGGGCCTCATATTCGTTTTGGCCAAGGCTGAATCGTCAGCCTTAGGAGTGAGATGAAGGCTGATCAATCTGGGTATCCCGAAAAAAAAAAAAGAAAAAAAAAAAAAGAAATTTCAGTGTTTAGTTTAGAAAAATGGCTGATCAATCAGCCTTGCCTTAAAAAAGGGCGAAAAAATAAAAAGGCTAAACATGACTTCAAGCTTTCCTTCAGTGCAACACATGCATTCAAAGTTTGGCATTGATAAAATGACATTGCAAGGACTATTACATTTAACTCATATCATCATCATCATCATCATCATCATCATCATCATCATCATCATCATCATCATCATCATCATCATCATCATCATCATCATAATTATCATCATCATCACTAGATGAACAGTCCAGAGCAGCATCTACAGGCTCGTCCTCATCTGCTTCCATCTGTTCTTTTCCCTTCTTACTGGTGTCACCTGGGGTGGAAATAGGGGCATTAGAGAACGGCTTTTGCTTCTTATACCCTTTCCAGATCTCGACCACCTCATCATACTATGGCTCATACTGCATCAGCGACAAGCACATCAGATCTCCCGGCCTTGCATCCTTGAGCCCACTTTGAAGCCATGGCTTGATAACATTCTTCCTCGAATAGCCCCTTTTGCACTCCACAGTGCTCAGGGAAATCATTGCCACTGCTACCCACAGTTGCAGCTGCACGAGGTTGGGGTAGCTCTCTTGCTAGTCAGGTGACTTTAAGATCGCTGAGAGGCCGTCGCGGAAGGACCTCTCTCCCTTTGGTGCAGCTGCAACGACGGAGCAAAACATCGGAAGCTCCTTGAATGCCTGCATCTCGTTGATTCATGGCAATATCACAAGAGGGTTTGGGGAGGGGCAAACATAGTATGTTGCAGCATGGGTTATAACATTGAGACGGCGAGCATGACATTAGAACAAACATGATAAATATGGGAAACATGACTTGGAAGAATCTCTTCAGGCTCTTGTGCCTTGAACACGTCACCAATGACTGAAGCCACTCCATGCATCGTGCATGCCGATCTGCTTTGCCTTGTGGCCACGCATCAGGCATGAAAAGTCTGACACCAAAGAGCAAATTCAGGCCACCCAACCTCCTCTCCAGGTTCGCCACGATGCATTCTGTGAACTCGGTGCACATGTCAACGCATCCTTCGTGATGCTCGGGGTGCGGTACCCATCCGCAGGGTCGTCATGAAGCGTGAAGGTAAATGATGCGGGCCGACCGTCAGAGTCGACCCCCTCCACTATCACGTTGCGGTTCCTTCCAGAACCATGGCGCACCAAAAAGGGCGAGAGCCAGTAGCTCAAGCCACCGGCGAAGTCGTCCTCACAGTCGACGTGGCGGCTCTCAATGTGCGATGTGGTCCGCTTGATTTGGGCATGCAGCAAGACAAGGTCCAGCTGCAAAAGGTAAAAAGGAAAAACAAAAAGAGAGAACAATATCAAATTGGTAAAGCAAATCCGCATCGAGTATCAATTGCGCTAATATAAATCCCTCACCTGTCGCTGTTGGTAGGTCTTGTTCAAGATGTTCAAATGCTCAAGCACATTAGCCAGGAAGTATAAGAAAAAGTGGAACCTTTACGAAGTGGCGAGCACATACATCTCGGTGTGGAACTCTTTGAGAAAATCAATCACTTCAAGAAACACAGCAGGGATGCGACGGATAGCATTCCCCCGAGACAGCTAACGAATCTGGTGTGTGCCATTGGACTTCTAGCCTCATCCTGGAGGTCCATGGAACGAGAATGCTTCGGGCCGAACCGTCCCGGAAGCTCAGAGATCGAGCTAACGAGGTCGTCCACCGTGTCAAAGAGCGGGAGTGCCGCTTCCTTTGCTGCAAGCGCCTCCCTGCAAACAAAAAACACAATGGAAGGTAAGTCAGTATAAAGAGGAAATCATGGTGTAACCGCGAGACAATGGAATCTGCACACGCACATGTGGGCGATGCAGTGAAACGAGTCGAGGTGTGGGATCCCTTCTCGTAGGCGAACAACCAGGCCACCTCGACTCCCCATCATTACAGATGCACTGTCATTGCTAATCCTGAGATCCCCTGCAGGTCGACACTAACAGCCTGCAAGTGAGATAGCAGGATGCTCAGAAGAGTCGAGGCATCAGCTTATCCACAGATACGAGATGCATGAACTTAGTCACAAGAACTTTGTCGCGAATGAACGTGGCATAAAGTATCAGATGCCCCCCCCTGCAGCGCCGTCCATGCTGATGCCGATTGTGTATAGTCAGGCTGCAAGTGATTGCGTGAGCTCTCCATAGCCATACCTGCCATTTAACACAAAGAAATCATTAGCATAAGAGACGATGTTATGATAAAAAACAAGAACAAACCAGAGTAGTACTCACGTAGTATAATAGGTGCCGTAACCTTTCGTGGGAAATCCATGAACCCCCTTCCGCGCAAGGTATCGCACCAATTTCACCCATGTTTCCATGGATGTGTCACACTGACTGACGAACAGAATCACATCAAGAAGTGCAACCACACGAATCTTCTCAGCATCGACAGCTGCACAATGCTCGTCGATGCGTTTCTGCTTAGATGCAGCAGTTAGCAGGGCCTCCTGCTTTCCCATTGCCAACTTGTGCTTTCTTGTCCTGACATGCTTGGAAAATGGCTGTGTCTGGAAGTCGGTCACCCCTTTGCCTGTCCTGCTACATTGTCCCCTGACTCTAGCACACAATGTACTTGAAAACGCTCTGATCACTTCGTTTTGTACTTCTCTAGAGCATCGGCATAGACAGCATCGATGAAATATGCAACATTGAGGTTAAGAGACGAGCGAGTGTTGGATTCATTCACAACACCTTGCTCGGCGCTTGATGATGCCCTTGGGAAACTCAGCCTCTATTGCTTGAGCTTGAATTTGCGCAGAGTTGTTGACAACCACGGTGTCGGACACGCCAGCCGGCGCAGGATGTTCAGTCAGGATAGAATCTGAGCTTGAACAATCGTCTCGTTTCTCAGCAACTATTGATACATGTCCGGGTGT